ACATGTTCTACAGTCTGTGAAAGAGTTCTTTTCGCATCTGTGGACGTTTTATTTTTCTTCGCCATTTTCTTTTCTGTATTTGTCGATTCTGAGGTATATCAGAAGTTGCTGATGTGTTCTTAATTCTTCTCTTCTACTGTATTGCCCTGCATCAGTTAGCTTCACAATATTTTTGGGATCTGAATACCAGAAATATTTTATGCTTTCCGGAAATCCTTTGCACGTTCTTATTTAGTTGCTGCATTAATGGAACAATAATGTTGGCGTCGAATTTCCAGTTTGCGGGGGGTGGGGGGATAGTCGCACATTCGGCCTCGAACCAGAGGTGCGGGGTTCGATTTCGACAAAGGGACAAACTTTGTCTTCCAGGAAATCGAGATCCGCCATTTCCCTTGAGCACATAACTTATTCGACATTGCTCTGGTGCAATCAGCTGAGAAACGGGTAGTAAGTCGCTAATTTGCGTACGTGTCCTGGTGTTTCCTATTAAAATTTGCGCGATGCTATGCTGTCTGATGCAGGCGCTTCATAAGGCTGCGATCCGCGTTAAGCGACCTGATAGCCGCTTATTCAATGTGGTAATCCGCAGAAGGTCAAACTCCTATTGTTGTTCTTTCCTTACTACTTGTCTTTAGTTTACTGCAGATTGCTGCTTCTATTAATCATCTGGGTCAGCCATTGTCCCATAGAGCTATCTGCTCGGATGTAAGCCAGTTCCTTCTCGGCAGCCTTGTCATCTAAGCACAGTTCGAATCATCTGCTGGCTAGAGTGCTAGCGATACCCTTATTTACACAATATGTTTAGTTGGAATCGAACTGCAGCAACTTACTGGAATGTGCTGACTTACGAATCACGTCTGTAACGTGCTTACCGTTTCTGATGATTATTTCGTCCAGAATAACTGTGGAGTTGTTTCGTCGTGAATATGATTTCTTTTAGTTACAGGATGTTGATGTTATGCAGGAACAGCGTTTCCGTGTCTTTTTCACAGATGGCGAATATGTCACCACTGCGTCTTCTAAAGAGCGTACAGATTGGACCTATGTGTGTGAAGTGCAGAACACCACTGCACTGTATGACCATGTCGTTCATGCTGCTTTCAGATAGTCCAGCTGTTTTAAATAATTAACTATTATTAATTAATAACTAATTTTATAAAGTTGGTTGCTCAGATCACAACTGGATGAGCATTGGTGATTATTTTTTTTAGAAATTGTTATACCTTACCTATTACTTTGTCCCAGCATGCGGACGTCGAAATCGCACATGGTCACTACCGGAAATATACCGGAGTACCTCCAGTTGACTCCTTCGAATAGTCGGATAAAAATGTTGTGATGGCGGGCACCCTCACCAGTTGCCAGCACCGTTGAAAAGAGCAGCAACTGACCGACCGTGTTCACCAAATACAGTAGCTTGCA